TTCTTTGAATTAGGTGGGGGGGGGGGGTTGGCCTAAATATCGCTAGATCTTTGGAGTCTCTCATAAACTACAACAAAGATTTTAAAATCAGTAGAAAAGTGTGGGATCTGTGAATATGGTATTCCTATGGACAGTTTGCCCAAAAAGCTATGCTCACCTGCTAGGCACTCCGTTAAACCCTCAATCATTTTCTGATGTTTTCCAGCTGAACTAAACATGACAGAGCTACAGAGCATACCTGACCTCACTGAGGAGACCCAGGTTGTAATCCTCCCTTACGCAGCAAAGCTGATGGGTGACCCTTAGGCCAGTGTTTTTCAACCTTGGCAACTTTAAGATGTGTAGACTTAAACTCTCAGAATGCTGCCTGAGGAATTCTGGGAGTTGAAGTCCACATACCTTAAAGTTGCCAAGATTGAAAAACACTGATTTAGAATTATAGTTATCTGTAAAAAGAAATGTTCCATGAGAAAATGTTCCTGTTTGCATTGTGGCACACATTACTGGAAGTAAACTAGGCTTTTCATACCTGTGCTGCAAAAATCCAGATAACAGCTAGATAACAGCAAAGGCATGCATAAAGTTCTTTGCTTCAACTAGCCCTCATCTGAAATTTTGCACATCCAGACTTCAGCTAAATAGCATGAAAGACACATAGAAAACTCTGTCACCATCTGGATTTTTGCTATGGTAACTCTAAGTAAATAAATAGCAAAGTTAGTACAAAGTTCTTTGGTGCTATGTTATCAGTGATACTAGCACTTGTGAAGAAGAGAGTTGTAATGGATCACAGGTGAGGTAAATGAAGGTGAGGTAAGCACTGATGATCACACCTAGTCGGGTAATGAAACACCTGCGAGCAAACAACCAAGCTCAGAGAGCACCAAGGACTCCACAGAGATAAACAATAGTGGTTATAGACTGCTGCAATGACACAAAACTGAGGATTCTGTGTTATAAATGACAAAAAAAGAGGCTAGTGTACAATGTTTAACAAGTTACAATCTTTTCTAGTTTAGCCAATCCCACTTAACATAAAAATAAATCAGGTGTGGTTGGGCAGCATGGCCCAGTTCACTGCTTCTTAAGGTTAAAGTGCAGTTTTCAGTCCTTGGTTAAGTGATTACGTGAAGCCAGTCAAATATCTGAGGAAATGTAATTCTCCTGACAGATTCCTCTGCAAATAAATACATTACTAACAAATGAGGAGGGGGGCAACTACCACTAGTTCTATTCCCGTAACTTAAAAAAATCAGAGGACACATTAACCAAATGAAGCCGCCTTATTATTTCCTTCCTGAGGCACCATATCACCAGCAGTGTACCAGAGAAAATCAAAGGCCCTTAATTTGTTGATTTATGACACTCAGATTTTCTGTTTTGTTTAGTTCCTTAGTTGTACATTTACACTATATCACCCTGAGGAACAGTTTGATAGCTGAAGATGACAAATAGCCAAGGGCAAAGGGGAAGATTCAGGGACAGGTTGCAGAGTCCTCAAAGAGATTCAGAGCAAAGCTTTGCAAGAAACTTGAAACCACGGAGTCGAGAGAGGAAAGCTGCTTACGTTCTCTAAAAGGAGATGGCTGCCATGCAATTCTTCCTGTCTCTGTGTTATAGATGCAAAAATATTGTTCAAATGAGATTTTTCCAGTACAGGCTTCTTCTTTAGATGGAGGTTTACAGGTAAGAAACACTTACAATTTACTTATAATATTTTATTTTTCTTTTTAGTTGGCAGATATGAACTTGCATAGAAACAGACTCCCTCTTAGTAAAAATCTAACAGGAATTATTACAAAATAGGCACTCTGTCATGGAAACAGCACCATTTCAGCAGCTCCATAGTTTGCACATCTGTGTAGAGTGAAATATTTTGTTATGGTTTCTATTTCAGACTCTGTTCACCCATGAGGACTTTGCACTTAAGTTTCTCAAACAGCAAACATGTTTTTGCAGTAAGGTTAATCCTGGTATGAATCTAACATAGGTTTTTGCACCCCCACTAAAATATTTGCATATGTTGGCATACTCTGTAGGAGTAATCCTATATTCTCCTGAGCACTCCTGAAAATATCATGGAGAGCCAGGAAAACAAACACATGGACCATCAAATAAATCATCCCAGAGTTCTCACTTGAGACACAAATAACCAGGCTCAAATTATCATGTGGACACATTATGCGTAGACCCAGCTCTCTGGAGAAGGTTCCAGTGCTGGGAAAGGTAGAAGGAAAGAAGACGACCAGCAGCAAGACAGACAGACTGTTACAGTGGTGATGAGTGTACCCTTGGGAGACTTGAAAGAACAAGTTAGGGATAGATTGTCATGGAGAAAATTTATCTATGTGCTCGACACTGATTTGATGGCACATAATCAAACCTATATTAGAAAGCCTAATGTAATAAGCAATCCACCTACATGAGACAGGAGCAGCCTCATTTTTAAGGAAAAATACTACAAATGATTGATCTTTTTTAAAAAAAAATTGGCATAATAAATATTCCAAGATACAGGCAGACCTGCAATCAATGGCTGTGGGAAGATCAATCAGCTTGGACTTAAGGAACCCATTTTTCTTTCATTCCTCCGTTACTCAGAATGTAAGATTGAGGTCTATTTCCTATATAGGTCTCTCTTCTCATTTTATTTCTAATTCCTGAAGTTATTATGTATGTATTGGCTTTCTTGAAGAAGACACAAAATGTCACAATGTAGTTTATTTCAATCCATTTTCCTCCTGTGAGATTCCAAAACCCCAAAATGAATATTATTAAATGTAGAATTACTTCCATATCCATCTTAATTTTATCTTCCTTTAAAGCACCAAGTGACTAATATTTTCACAACTACAATTTATAAAAGTTTAACCAACTGATACTGTTATTTATACAACATGGTTTAAAGTAAAAGTCATTTACCTTCCCAAGAGGTCCACATGGGAAGACATAAACAACACATTCTCACCTTTCTGGCTGTGGCTGTAGAATTATTTTGGAGAAAAATGAAAGCTACTTGATTTGATACAGTAATTCTTTTTTCCAACTTGGAAATTTGGGTCATGTTGCTGGTTATTGG